CCCCCCCCGTCAGAACAAGAATGTTTTGGTTAAAATGGAAAAGAAGAAATGGGAGGAGATTGTAGTCAAACAACAGAAGGAGGCCGAGGAGAACGTGACCCCTGACATAGACGAGAACGGCTTCGGCAATCTGGCCACCAGCATGGGGCGAGACCAGGAGCGGGTGAAAGATCGTCTGCTGAAGAACACATACTCCAAGAGGAGCAAACGAGTGAGTCTGTCATCTCTTTCTGCAGGCTAAGTGATAGCTTGATGGACAAGAGCAGCGGCGCTCAAAACCAATGTGATCTTATACCTGTTCCTGAGTGTTGACGGCTTTGACCGGTGTTGACCGGATTAATGTGGCCGTCGCAGGTATTGCTGAATGTCTGCTGTTTCTGGAAGGGTCCAGTGAGGTGTGTGCATATGAATGTGACAGCAGTACATCAGCGTCTGACAGATTATTGGTCTAGAGCTGTGGTTAAGCCGCACAGCATGCTGTTAATGACCAAGAAGAACAAAAATAACCATCTCTCGCTTCCTGTATCCGTTTTCTCTCTTTCTTGTTTTGGCTTATTTGTAGCTTTTCTTGATAGTGATACTACAGACAGTACAGGATGAGGAGGTTTGAAGCGGAGAAAATGGGATCGGAAAATGCCACAAGCCTCATTTGAACTCATGTTGCCAACATGAGCACCAAAGCTCATCTATCTATCTATCTATCTATCTATCTGTCTATCTATCTGTCTATTTGTCTGTCTGTCTGTCTGTTGCTCTGTCTTTGTATCTATCAGTCTGTTTGTGTGTCTGTCTGAATGTCTAGCTGTTGTTCTGTCTAGAAATTTAAATTGAAAATGTCTTTATTGGCATGACTGTAAACAAAAGACAATATTGCCAAAGCTTAGAATATATGTGCAAAAAACATAATAAATGACCATGAAAAGATCAAAATAATAGAAAAAACCATTACAACATAATTTACACTTAAATAAACTGTGTAACAAATTAGAACAGGAACATTTGATACCACAGTGTTTTACACATAAAAACACACACATACTGAGGGTCACTGTGGTGTACAGTAGGGAAACACACTGAGGTCAGACACAGTACACACATTCTCCTGCTGTCTCTCAGGCTCTGGCACATCTATACATATCTCGCAGCCACTGCTGCTGTCTGTCCCTCTCCTAATATTATCTTTATCTGTTCCTCTTCAGTCATGGCTGTAAAGTTCTGTATGATGCTTGTGAATTTGTTCAGGTCTCTTATTGATTTACATTTGTGGCAGTGAAGTAGGAAGTGCGTCTCTGTCCTGTCTTACAGTGAGCACACACTCTTTGCTCTCAGGGTAAGCAGCTCTTTTTGTGTCTGTGAGTTGTAGCTCAGCAGGTCTAGGTGCTGCTGTAGTCCCTGTGGAGTGGATGACAGCAGCACCAGATCATCTGCGTACAGCAAAAGCTTGATGTTTTTGTCTTGTAGAGTGAGTCCAGGGCAGTGGACTGTTCCACCTGCTCCGCTATTTCATTAATATAAATGTTGAACAGGTTGCCCTGGGTTGCTCTTCTGGGTGAAGAATTTAATATGTTTATTGCCAATTCGTATTGCACATTTGTTGTTTGAATACATAGATTTTATTATGTCATAAACTTTACCGTCCACTTTGTAAAAGTTTGTAATATAATCTGTAATATAATATAATCCAAATAGAATCAAATGATTTTTTGAAATCAACAAAGCATGCAAATGTTTTTCCATTTTTGGTCTGTTTCACGTGTTTATTGATTGGGGGTGTAGGGTGTAATTGTGGGCTTTAGTTCTGTGATTTGGAAGGAAGCCAATCTGACTTGGTCTCAGGACATTGTGTTCGTTAAGGAAGTTTACAATTCTACTGTTAAATAACTTCCCCAGATTATTGCTCACACACATGCCTCCAGAATTATTAGGGTCCTGTTGATCTCCACTCTTGTGAATTGGGGTAATAAAAAAAGTTGAATAATTTGAGCACAGCTGTCTGAAGCTCAGGTGTGCTGTGTTTCAGCATTGCACCTTAGAATGCTGTCAGGACCACAAGATTTTTTTTTACATTTTTGACTTTTGAGGTTTTTTTTTTTTTTTGTCAATTCTCCTTGTATAATTGGAAAGTCAAGTGGGTTTTGATTATTTTTAATTGTGTTTTCATAAGTTTGTAGACTTTGTTTGATCTGATTATAATGTTCATTTAGTTGTTTTGGTGGGATTTCTTCATATACATTTTCAAAATATTTCATTCAAATGTTTCTGTCTTGTTATTGGTAAGTCTTGTGGTATTGTTGTGCTCGGATTATTCCACATATCCCAGAACTGATTATGATTTATTGAATGTTTTATTTCTTGTGGTCACTTTTGGTCAGATGGTGTTTCTTTTTTCTCTAATTGTGTCTTTGTATTGTTTTAATTTTGGAGCAGAATTCAGTTCTTATGTTATGTCTGCATTGTTTGGTTCTTAGGTTTGATAATTTGTTTTCTTAATGTTTTGTAGTCTGAGTCAAACCATTTTTCACCTTTTGGTGTTTTTTTTTTTTTAACTATATTTTTCGCCTTTCTTTTAAATGCAGCTTTTTGAAATATGTAATTGATTTCATTTGTAGCCACATCTTTAGTTGTTTAATTATTATTATTTTTTGCTAATAAATGTAGTGATTAGATGTTTTAGTTCTTCAGAATTGAGGGCTGCACTAACTCTGTACCGTTTTTATTTACTGTTTGGTCAAGATTGTTTCTTGGTGGGTTTTTTGTGAGACTCGGGGGGTTTTGGCCAAAGACATGTTTATGTCTGGGCCTGGAAATGGCTGATGTCTGTGTAGATGTTGTTCAGATATTCTAAGGGGATTCCACTGGAGGAATGTAGATAGCACAGAGATACGTATCAGTGGTTGAAATGTCAATTTCAGTTTAGTTTTAACCAGCAGTGAAATTCATCCCGAGTCTCTTCCATGATGGACTGCACTTAATTTAACTGAGGGCACAATCACTTCATAGTAGCCTGAGGGACAGTAGGTAAGCGCATCCTTTTGACACCAGGTTTCAGTGAGAATTAGAATGTCAGCATCTTTGTTAATTTTTAGAATTCCTGGGTGTAGGGTTGGGTACCGAAACCCGGTACCATTCTGACTTAAAAGCACAACTCGATGAAATGAGAGCATCCGAGGAGCGCGTGAATGCGGTAATTACACTTGCTCTGATGGCAGCAGGTAGCCTTCCGTTAACTAAGCTAAACATGCTTAAATTACAATGCCTAAAGCTAAACTTCCCTTGTATTCACATTTCTAAACCTGTTGTCCAACAAAAGAGAACATTATAACCTTTTTACTCCACAACACCAGTCAAATGCTTCCTTTTGTGATCTGATGAGGCTTCTTGTCACAGAATGAGGCAGAAAGTATGTTCCATAGGCTACTTTAAAAAAAACACATCGATTAGCAATGGATTATAAATATACTTAATTAATAAAAATACCAGATGGCTTGAATAAAACAGATAAACTATATTGTCGCAGGCGAGTGTTTATTGTCCTTGTTTTATCATTCAAAACATTTATATGTTCTGTTTACTCGGTTAACTTACAGCTATAATAGCGATGCCTTTGTCCATATAAGGGATTTCCTGAGTTTCGCTACTTCTGTGACTGGATATGTGGATTTTCTGTGCGAGGGCGCCCTCTGGCGTCCAGTATGAATGAAACAGACATCATGTGTCTATAGTGTAATGGCCAATTCATTATTTTTTGGGGAATTTTTATTTATTCATTTTTTTAATAAGTATCGGTTCAGGCACCGTTTAGGCACCGGAACCATTTTTAAAGTATCGATTTGGCACCAGTATCGAAAAAAAACCAAACGATACCCAACCCTACCTGGGTGTGTGCTTTTAGGACCAAATGTCGAAGAATGAAGACCTTGAATATTCCAACAACTTCTATGAAATAAACGCATTAGTATCATTAAAGATAAACCTATTTAGTAAGACAGAAAGAAAATGACATGTAAAAATGTATGTGGTGAACAATCTGTCTGTCTGTGTGTGTGTGTGCCGTACTGTTGTTTTGTCTAGCAATCATTCTGTCTGCTCAAATTGTCTGTGACAAACTTTCTGAAAGTGTAGTTATAGTGGTTACTACACCCCTGGTGCTCACAGCTATAGGCCATAACTCCAACCCATGATCTTCTTTCCTTCCTCACTCTGTCTTCTGTCACTCATACAGAGTTTTCTAGAAGGACAGCTTTCTGACACCACGAGGAGAGATAGAATATTATCAGGCCAGAGCTAAAGCAAAATGGACAGACAGAGCATGGTTCATCCCGTGTCTGTCACTTGCCTCCTCCCAGAGCCATCTGATTACCCTCCCCTGAAGACTTCTCCATCTCTGTAGCCCAGTGCATATAAAGCAGCTTCTCTCCAGGTGGGATCTCTGTCTGACACAGGCCTTTGTGCGTTCACTCTCACTGGCAGCGTGTTTAAATGCAGGGTGTTCTAGCCCGCGTGGGCATCTATCAGACTCTCATACACCCGCTGGCAGCTCCGTTTCCCTCTCTGATCAGAAATAATGGGGAAAAATGAAAACCATTTTTATATCGCTGTAATTGCAGAGCGGAAGGCACTCCACAAAGCAGCCATCTGGACTGGGAGAGACTGTGAATGCGCATGGGCCGCTGGTGTGTGTGTGTGTGTGTGTTTGTTTCCACGCTGCAGAGATGCAGAGGGACACACACAGCATGTCTCTGATCAGCGTGTCTGGGCTTTTGATGCACAGCTCGGCTTGATTTCTGTCTCTGAACAGCCCGTGATCACACTTAAACACAGATTCATCAAAGCATTTAAATATTAACTTTTTTTCTCATTGATCTATTAAGTATTGCCATTGTGCCTTAGACACTTAACCTCAAGTTACTCTGTCCTCTCTGTAATTACTGTAAGCTTCTGCTTGAGTTACAAAAGCACCAGCTAAAGGGCAAATCAGATTAGATACAAGTGTCTAACTTTACACAATCTTCTTAAAGCTAAAGTGTGTCATTTGTCTTTGCTGCAGAGACAACTATAAGTAAGCCATTTTTAGGTGGTTTTTCTTTCAAAAAAAGCTAAAACACTCTGTCTCCTTTAAAACGTTAATTAATTGTGCAAAATAATTGCAGATAATATCCTTGCAGTTCTGTTGTGAATGGGATGACTCTAATGGCACAGAAATTGCACACT